TGTAGTTTTGCAAAGGAATTGTAATGGATTCCTACAATGGTCACTCTAACACATAGGCATACATGTCATGCCCCAAAAGCTATCCAATGTGGCATGTAGTTATTTAGAAATTAGCTGTGTCTACTTTGATTTCACACATTTTCAGGGTTGTAGAGACAACAAAATCCCAACAGTGTTCACGGAGGGATCCTACTCAGGGAACATTGTACTGCAGATAGCAAGGTCTGAGGGTAAATGGAAACAAAGTTAAACAGCATTCTGAATTGAGAAGGCATGAAGCAGCTCCTGTGGCTGTCAGCAAGGGAGAGAACAGGGCAAAACAAAATGAAAATATTGTCTTAAGAAAACATATCAGTTTTATGACAGGTACGCAGTCAGAGAAAGAATTTTAACTCTGATATACTGCAGTTCACTCAGAAGCTGAAAATCTTCTACCAAGAACATATTTAAGTAAAGGCATCAGTCCTGAGAGAAAGAAGAGCATTCCCAAGTATAATGGCACCTGTGGGTGTTGACCAGCTGCATTGCCCAAGCAACAGACAACCCATCTGTTGAGATTCTGCAGAAATCTCTACCCTTGAAACCACCAGCCCAGCAGAAACTCTTTCAAATAGAGGTAAAAAAAAAAAAAAAAAAAAAAAAAAAAAAAAAAAAAAAAAAAAAAAATTTCCCACCTATTTGGCTGAAAAATGAAAAAATACACAGAACATGGCCATTTTGGAGAGAATTTAAATAACACATAAGGGACCTGTTAGCATTTGTAGGCAAAATGAAGGAATCAGAACAGTTATAGACTGAGGCTGAATGGATCTTAAAACACATGTGGCAAACAGCAGTTTCATTGTGGGCTCCTGCTAAAGCAGCCAGTGACTGCAATTGCAGTGTGATACCTGCACAGGAGGAACAGAGGGTTCAAGCAGAAAACACAGCTCCCACCACTGGCGTGTCTTTAGTATGGGAAACATCCCCAAACTGCTGAAAGTTGTTATTCCAACAGTAAAGCCTGTAGAAATGTCAGGAAACCAAAGCTACGGTCACCTGCAGGCAACTGCAGGAAGTTCAACACTACTTTACGATGGCAACAAAATGGACTTTCTGACTCTCCAGATAAGTATTTGCAGGTTAATAGTACAGAATCTCTAAAGTCTTTAATTTGGAGGAAATAAGTGAAGTATTATTTTACCCTCTTTCTTTATAAGTGGAAGAAGTAGGACTGAAAATGGAGTTACAGACAGAATTTTGCAACAGGATTATCACAGGCTACTTAAAAAGGTGAATTTGAGGAAAACCTCAAGGCTTTTAAAGGTGCTTACTGTAGAACTGCTGATTTCCCTGAGCAGCAATAGTGACAAAATAACTTGTAATTACTTGTGACAAGTAATACACACTACTCCTCTCAGCCACGTGGTGATAAGGTCACGCTGCCCTCGGTGGAAAACGGCTGGGAGACTTTTGGCAGCATTGACAAAGCATGAAGTGTCTCCAAGCTAGACCATATTACAACTTCAACCCAAACCAGAAATAAACTAAGCTCCTGTACGAGGCAGTGGAGGTATTTCAGGATGGCAATAAAAGCCAGAAAAGCAGAAATTTGCTTCAGAAGAGAGCAATCCCTACATTTTGCAAGAGCACAAAATGTGCCTGTGGAGCCTGTGATTAGCAAACTGTTACATCTGCTGCTGATGCTGGGAGAGCAATTACACACCCCAGCTGCTCATATCCCTTCTTTATCTCTCTCTCATTCCCCCTCTTCCCTCTCTGTTCTGCCTCTTTCACAACTCTCTACATAATATGGTTCTGTAAAAAGAGGCAATTAGGAAAAATTAAAAAAAAAATACTACATAAGGCAAAGAGCAGCACCTCTCTAGAGAAGGAAGGATGGAAAGGCAGGTGAGCAGCATGTCAACACCCTGCCTTATCCAGTTGTACCCACGGCCACCTACTGCAGCACCTCCTAGTAATTCATTCATAAGTTGTGGCTGGATTATTTTGCAGAACCAGGCTGGGGACAGACAAACATTTTGCAGACTGCTCAGCTATTAGAACCAAGAGATGGCATTTACTCATAGCTGCAGTAGGGTGGATGACAAATAGGAACATCATCCAAAATATCTGATCACCTCCAGCAGTGCATAGAAGTGGGTTCTGTCCTGAGCTAACTGCAGTGAATGGATTGCCTTGTTCATGGCTGTACAAAAACAGAATAGGATTGTGCATGTCTAATGGGATTGAAGGGTTGCTCAGTGTTGCCACAAAAATTCCTTCTGTGATACAAGAGATGATATTCTTGCTGCCTGGCAGCTTGCACTTCTATGGGGCCAGCACTGTTTAAAACTATAATCGTGTGGGACTAGAGATGGGAACAAAGATCCTGTTGAGAGAAGCAAGGATTGGTATCTTCACATCTGGATAAATGTGTTCATTGCTATATCACCAGATATTACTGGTGCATTTCAGGTGTAAAACTCTGCAAGGGTGAAATCCCCTCTTTTTTTATTACTTTGCTTTCCTTTTATCTTTAATCACAACTATATAAAACAGATAGATAAATATGTAGATCTAATTCAAATATGGAGACACAAGCAACCCATGTCGCAGTGTCTCATGCACCAGTATTTTGATGAACTTGCTCAGAGATCCTGTTCCTTCCCTCTCACCCAGAGGAGAGTCTGTTTGCCCTAAATGCTGGTACACACTGTCTCCTGCTAAGCTGACAGCTAAGCTCAGCAGTCTCTGCTGAAGGGTATCATTCCATGTTCTGTTACTCCTAATGCAGGGCTGACTTCAAGCCTGTTTTTACTTAAACCTAAGATGACTAAGTGTTTACCAAAGCCATCTGTTGTTCATAGGATAGCTTGGTAATTTTATGATGGCCCTTTTCTAATAAATCACAGAGAGAGGAGGTAATGACAAGCTAACATATGTATGCTATCTCATAAAACAAACAAAATATAAACAACATAATAGCATCATCAGCACAATTCCAGACATGCTCATGCTGCCTTTCCTAAGCCCACATGCTAGGCAAGTTCCTACCAAGTCCAGTCAACATCGCCAAGAGTCTGCCTAAACGAAAATGAATCAGTGAGGGAATTACAAATGTAGCTGCTGGAAAAAAGACAGAGACTCCACTTGCTCCTCTCTTTACTGGATCCTTGTCAGTAGGCTGCCTGTGTTTCCATCATGTTCAAGGCCCATTGTCTCTAATTCCAGGTATTTTATAGCCCTGAACTCTCCATGGGGGGCACCTGCATCTCTGCCATCCTGTCTCCCCTCTGACCTGTCATGAGAACAAGCTCCTCCTGTTCTGCTACACCTGTTGGTTCCCACAAACTCACTAGCAAAGCCTGCAAGGTCCTCTCCCTTCTCCAGCCCTGTGTTTCTACTGCAGAGGGCCTTGCACCTACTCCAGTCTCCAGGAGGTGCCAGTTCATTAGCATGCCAGGGCTGATTCAGTTTACATTTATAAATAGTTTAGATGAGTATGTACTTTCACTGAGATAAGTAGGTCTCTACCACAAACTGCAGTGACAGCAGCATTCCAGAGATGACCTGTGGGTCTCCCTCCAATGGGGCTTTTACAACAGATGTTTCCATTGATGTTTTGGAAAGTAAAAGAAGCCCTTAACTCAGATGCTCAAAATAACTAATCTTTTCTTATCAAAGTAATCATATAAAACAAGAAAACTTCTCTCCTGTTGAAACTCCTTTTTTTAAACCAGTCCAGCCTGATGTATAAGAAGGGCCTGTAATGACAATTTTTGTTATCAGTCTTCTCTGGCAAGGAAAGTATTTTTCTCTTCAGTTAATGATGCTCTGGAAACAAGGTTGCACAATTTATATCCTTACATAGCAACAGATCAGTCAGTTGAGCTTTACAAGATGCTCCTCGCTGCTACTCAGCACAGACTGATATTTTTATAGTTTCCTTTGAAGGCTCAAATGCTTCTTGTCTATCTATGAAGTGGGGTTGCCTTAGGGTAACCAAGCTGAAAAGCACATGGTTTGCTGACCAGGCCATTCTGAGTAATATTGGCCGCAGTGCTTTTTTTCTTCAAGATATGCTGTTTTCAGTAACACCTTCACACAATGTTTTTCCTGGTCAAAAACTTTAGAAAAACAAACTCAAGAACTAGTCTTTAAATGATCAAAGGGTAAAGCCTGCATGTGACTTTTTGGGAGAAAAAAAATCAAGCAAAATGGAACAAAATATGAAAAGCAACCTTTTTGGTTGACTGTGTTTAATTAAATACCAACATACTTTGTCAGAAGAAATTCCTTAATTTTCTTCCCCAAAAAAGAATATTTAAACTACCTTACAAAAACTTATTAGAGTCAAGAGAGTCCTTAATGAGATTTTGGTGTCTTTTCATCTGAACTTTAAAGAACATGATGAAACTCTCATTATGGTAACAGAGGCATTTTTTACCCAGGGAAGTTTACACAAGCCACAGCTCCAGTTACAGTAACCCTACCTCAGATCCCAGTTTAGAAGTCCCCTAGTCCTCACCAATGGGGAGAAATACCAGATAGGAAGAGCACAATTAAGATGTTCCTTGAAATAAAGAACAAGCATATGTACATGCCCTGACCCAAGGAGGCTTTTTACCAGTTCCACTAATCTCTAGACCCTGGTGCTCATATCACGACTGCTGCAACTTGATTACCCCAGATAATTATAAATCCAGAAAAGATCATTGTAAAATTCATGGCCAGGACCCAAGACTCCTAAAGTCTGTCAATCTTTTTTATGTTCTTTGTTGTTATGTTTTACAGCTGTGAAGTAAAAATTAGGGGAAAAATGAATGTCTGTATAACAAGTAGATTTTTCTATATTTTTTCCACATAATTTGCTCAGCTTGTTCTTATACTTTTTGCTTTTAGAGCACATTGGCTGTTCTTTCTTAAATGTCAACAAAACAAAAAAGCTGAGCATGTAGCAGAACGTATCCGTAGCTTGCAATGATTCCTGCCAAGATGAAACACAAACCTGGGCTCACCTTTTCATTTTTCTTCTTAAGCAGATCACCAGCTGTTGTCTCCGAGAAAATGTGCATCCTAAAGGGATGTCCAGCTCCCGCCTTGCAAACTTTACGTTTTTTAACATGATGTTTTACACTTGAATTATGAATTATTAATGTTTTCACCCTTTCTACCAGAGGTCCTACAAGTTTCTGTAGTCCAGAAACACTTTGTTCAAGTCCATCTAGCCTTTTAACCTGCTGCTCAGCTTTCTTGTTTATATCAGAAAGAGATTTTTTCATTTTAAGGCAAAGTTTCTTCATTTCATTATTTCTCATTTTTTTGTTTCTTTCCGTCCTTGATCCAGGTTCAGATGTTTCCGCCTTTACCATCTCCATGTCTTTTTCAATGAAACAGATTTCTTGGGAAAAACTGTTAAGCTTCTTAAGGACACTGTCTTGCAGAGTCAACAGTTTATCAATTTTCTCTTCAAGGGAGGCAAACTTCACATCCATGATGTTGAAACTTTCAGATGTGCTGATATCACTTCTCTCAACGTGGAGAATTTGAGGAGGTTCCATTCCATTACCTGGCCCTTGGTTTTGCAAAGTGTTTGGATCAAATCTTTTGGCCAAGTTGTTGACCATAGACGTAGAAGAGCTCTGCCTGCTGGATGTGGTCATTTTGCTAGCTTGGGTATGGGAAGGAAATGCTCTGATGATCAGCTGCTTGAGGACAATATCAGTTGCAAAGGCTTTCCATCCAGGCTGCTCAGATATACAGCCAAGTTTGGCAACTCCAGCTCAACTAATTTATAAACTACTCTCATGTATTTGACTAAAACAGAAGAGACACCCAAATTATTTAGCAGAAAAAAAGCCTTTCATCCATTCTTTTCTTTACATATATATTTAACTATCTATTTCCAAATGAAATGAATATAGAGATGCATATCCTAAATGCACTCAGTTCAGTGACATCAGCCCTAGCAAGGACCAAACTATTTGCACTCCAATGGCATTTGACAGCAAAAAGGCTACAGGACACATGAGAAGTCATTAAGGGTAGTGAGACTTTGGCAGTGGTGTTGCTGCTTTTCAAAAGCCTAGTATGTAATGTGATCCCTGCTCTGAAGAGAATAAGGGTCCTTACAGGGAACTTAAATGTGGCTGCTTGAAATTGCTGTTTTAAGGTAAACTTTTGAGATGAAAATTTCTATTCCTTGAAAAGCCTGTTATGCTAGGCAGGAAGTCAATAGAGTGGTTAAAAAACAAATACATTAAAGAAAATAAAACAAGAAGGAGATGCTGGAATGCAAATATTTTGAAAAAAAAAATAGAGCCCTATCTTATGTCTCAGCTACCACATAGCTACTATATGCACAATTAGTTCCATAGCTAATATCATCATTTTGTTCTGTATTTAGTTCTGTACTTATCAAGACTGTTCTAATTTGTCACAAATTAAGAGGCTTATGTTTTACTATGATCTGGTCATCCAAATACAAAAATAGAACATTTGATAGAGACTCAGCTCTTTTCTTTGTTTGCCTGACAGTAACAGTCTCATGATCAGTGATTAATATTCCTAGCTCAAATAGTACATTTAAGTTTTGCTTTTGCAAAAAAACTTTGTTTCTTTCAGAAAGACAACATTGAACAGAAAAGAAAGTTCATTACTGGGAACAGGTTTCCCCTAAGGGTAGGTCAGAATTCTTGAACATCTTTCATGTTGGTTTGAAAAATAAAAACAGAATTTAAAAGACAGTATAAAACCAGAATTTCTCAAGTCAGCTATACTCCACAGGAGCAAGAAGTAAACCAGTATGGATCAACTTGATGGAGACAGGCTGCCTGTGAAACAAAGAAATAGCACCTTGGACAAATGACTATCATAGATTGGCCACACATAGGTCAGTCTGCACTGCTGCCACATCTTTTATAGAAATAAATGCATGAAGTTGGCCAGCTGGTTGAACAACAGCCAGACTGTTGCTCTGATCAAAGGATCAAGAGCTTCTTTTTGTGATCCCTGTGAACTATTTCTTTTGCCAACCTCAGTTTCTTCATCCTTTAAACAAGGAGCATGAGGGATAATTAGGTAAGGGACATAGTGAGTTCTGAATACGTAACACACTAGATAGTCTTTCAAAATTGCATGGTCTTCTCTTCAATTTTAGGTGGTAAACATGTCTTTTAGAGTCAGTCACAGCTGCAATTTCCAAAAGCTTCCAAAGGCATTCTCCCATAACCATTTGTGACTCAACATTTAGTCAGTGTTGATAAGGATAAGCTAATTCAGGAGCTTCTTCTCTGGTTACTGCAGGTTCATAAGCACATTTGTCACCTTCTGGGATCAGCCTGTTACTGCAAGTGAAAGTGAACTGTGTTCATGCATGATCCTAAAATATGGACTGAAATCCCTTCTTTAAATAACAGACATTACCAAGAGGTGGCCATCATGTGTTACTGTGCACAGCATATTCGCTGAGAAGGTTAACTATTTTTAAAAATAGGAAACAGGATTTAAAAAAAACCAAAAGAGTTTAAAGATCTCTATTTCATGAAAAGAATAATAATACAGGATAGCAGTTAAAAAAGAGGAAGTAATAACAAAACAAAGAATATCACATCAGTACCAGCAAAGTAGTTATGTTTGAAGCCCTTTTACTTACTCTGTTCATCTCTGCTAAAAACATGAACTAAACTCTCCTGACAGTTTCATATCTGCAGAAGCCCCTGCTAGACACAAACTTCCAGAAGAAGCACTTGCATGTTGGTTAACTGGCCAGGTTTGAAAAGCCATTTATCTTGGATGAAACATCCTGCAGGAGTTCACGGTCAGCTTCCCCCTGTCCCCTGCCCTCCCTGCACACACAAAAAAAAAGGTTAAAGGTTTATTAGACCTTGCCACCCATTCAGCAAGGACTCCTGGTCTGGGGAATTTCATAGGCAAAGACAGTCAGGCACAAGGATCCTATTCAAAAGGAACACTTTGTTAAAGCAAGAATTTATTAAAAGAAAAAAGAAAAGGACATACAGATAACAATGGTAAAATCATGTGTTCCATTACTCTGCACAGCCACATATGTTAAACATTAAAATCTCTCCTAACAGTTGCCCAGGGAAATACTATGTGAAATACCTCAAACCAGTACTATAAACACTAATAAAAAATTTAAGCTCTGTGAGGGAAGATCCTATTATCAAGTATCATCTATAAAGTACTACTGATTTAATATTTTACCATGACATACACTGAAAGGGTAGAAAGCAAACTATAAAAAATGCTCCATTTTTAAAAGCTTATCAGTATGTTAGCACTACTGTTTGAAGCTGAAGTGGAAGAGAGAACTCCTATGTAGAGGCTTGAAAATAGGAATAAATTCTAGATAATAGAATAGAATAATAGAATAATAGAATAGAATAATAGAAAGAAAACTAACATCAGCTTGCTTTCTAGGCTCAGAAAGCTCATGCTCAGAAAGCTTCTTCACAGCTGGGAATCTGTGATACCTGCCTCTAGGACTGTAAACTGCAAATAACTTTACACATCCAGATGCTTTTCAAGAGTCCAGTAAGAATTAATTACTTAAGGGAAATTGTTCTGTAAAAATAGTGTGATTTAAAGTATTTGAATATTTCCTTCTTAGTGCTGTGAATTATTACTGCTACATTATGAAATTCAATAATACTATATGCAAATAATTTGAGCCATTTATAATAAATACCTGAATTTAGTTTTCCTAGTAACTAAGATAATCTCTTAGAACCTGTACCTATCATTAATGCACAAAATAAGCCCATATAAGAGCATTCTTATTTTTATCTCACAAGTTTTAGTGATGACTGATTACTGGATTTGCACAGCACCAAAGATGCTTAAAAGTCCGTTCGAAATTAGGAGTATGAGCTGCAGGAATATTTACTTTTCTGTAATTGAAAAATTTTCTGTGAATTGAAAACAAAGAAACACAACTGATTGAAATACATTAGAAAGAAAGCAATTCCACTAGTTTTAAAGATGACATGATTCCCCATGTTCCCAATATAGCCTAATACTACAAATCAGAATATTAATACTAGGTCACTTCACCATGGCAGTGACAGTGTCAGCTCAAAGGCTGACACTGAACCCTGGGAATTTTTTGCACACAGGTGTAACAAACACCTGCAAATCAAATGAGAAAATGTATGGTTTTATATTAATAAATCTGCCATACAGATTAATTTCTTCTATACAATTGCTGCCCTGTTGATGATGAATTCTTTTGAGTGGCTTTTACATAAAAGAAAATTAACCTGCAGTTCTCTTTTACTTCAAGATCAGTTGGAAAAGGCCTTAAAGTAACACATACAATTTTCCAAGTGTCATGGTACTGAATATTTGGAAGAAATATCAATGAAGTACCAATGGATACATTGCTGCTACTGTGACTTTCACATTTTTAACATGTCTGTGGACATGATACAATGAGCCTGTAACAGATGCCATAAAACTCTGTACCTTACATAGACATAGTTAAACAGGCTATAGGTGAAGATTCGACAGACCAGAGAAGTAAATTTTTCCTTCTGATTTCTCTCTTGAACTCAAATTTCAGCCAGGGTTTTTTTCTCTGCACACACATATGTGGAAAGCTGGCTAGCTTTAGGAGGTTATCGCAGCATCAAAGCTCTATTAGCTCTCTGCTTCTGAACAGTGATCCTCTAATTCAGAGATGCCCAGACCAAGCTTTTAGCACATTCTGCCCCAGAGCCTGCAAAAGGCAGGAGTGTAGCCACATTTCTCTTCACAGAGAAAAGCAATGCACAATTCATCCCAAGAATATTTCTGGGTTTCACATTCTCTGAACTGCAGAGAAAGAAAAAGCAATTCTTATCTTATTTGCTGTGCCTGTGTTTGTGCCAAAGTAGAATGCAATATGGAGATTGTTTACCCAAAGTGATGGTGTTTTGTTTCCTTGGCCTGTCAGGGCCAAGTGTGTGTGTGTGTCAGGACTGTCGGCTGACAGTCACGAGATGCTGTGCAATTGTGTGCAGTTAAGTGCTTAGCAGATTCAGTTTAGATGTAATGTAATATAGTATAAAATAATACAGTATAATAAAGTAGTTAATTAGCCTTGTAACAAGATTGAGTCAGATGCATCATTCCTCCTTCGTCAGGGGCAAAAATATCCACTATACAGGAGGACCTCAGTTCCACAGTGTTTGGCTCTCAGACTCATAGGCATTGGAGAATAAAACATTTGAAAAAAATCATAGCCACAAAAAATGTAATATTTGTGATTCTTTTAATTTCACATGACAACTTATCAGTCCAAAGAAAGCCTGCTTTCTGCCTAACAAAGTTGTTCACTAAGTTTTGACCAATTCTTGGTCCTCTGATCATACAGCTGAGCTGCTGTCTACCCTGTTTTATCTTATCTTGTTCTGCTGGACCCAAGTTACCAGGAGTTACCCTCTCCCTCCATGTCTTTTTAGACTGAGTCTTCTAAATTAGTTCAGTTCAGTTCTTCATTTTTCCTAACAATTAGAGGTCCAGACAGTGCACCTCATAAATTTATGTCTGCTGGCATCAAACATTATAAACAAAACCACAAGTGGGAATGTTTTACTTGTAGACTCTGATTCCAACTTTTTTGGGCTGTAAGCCATGTATCAGGGTATGGCATATTTTGTGGAAGACTGCTACAACTGAACTTCATCTGGAGAACACGATACACCTTCAAAAATATTGACTTGTTCTAAACAAGGTATCTCCAAAACTCCCATGTCCAGTTTAATATTTTATTGCAATGGAGGATTGGGGTGTTCTTCCCTCAGAAATAACATGGGGCCACCTGCCATGCATGAGTTTGCAGCACGTGTGTGATGCATGCTCCACTTCCAGCCATTCCTCACTCATGTTCTCCTCACATTTCTGTGTCTGTGTCCTGGCAAGGATTGGGTTTACACAAGGAATATATTAAGGGGAGTGGGATGCAGGTATGTGAACAATTAGCTCTGACTGACTTTTTGAGTTTTCCAAAAATACTATCTAAATTTCCCTTGGTGCAACTGAAGTTGA